TTTTAATGTACCTAAAATCATCAAATTCGTTCCAAATGGTGGAGGGTATTCAAAGTTTGGCCCGGCCGAACTTACTGCTTTTTAACTTGTTTTTTTTTTTTGACAAATGTTGTGGAAAAGGTACCAGAAAGAGTGGTTCGCTATACTCCATCTTCACAGCATGTTTGTGTTGGTAGAAATAGTTGAAAACGCTGAGTTTGAAGAGAATCGGACGCTCATTTCACATTTTATCGACTGATTGGTATTTAAAATTGTTGACCCGTTATGTGGGTGGTAGCAAAAGGAGTGGGATATATTGGGATTTACAAAGTTTAAAGACAATCGGAATATTATTTTACATTTTAAAAGAGTCATAGTTATTCAAAATGTTAACACATTGTGGAGTGTGAACCCATTCTGTTCATCCTCCCACCTGATTTAACACTAAAAAAATATTTGCAAAGTGTCAACAAAATCGATTGATGCGTTGTCTTCCCATGAGTGGAAGATTACAATTGGGTCCTATAAACCATACTTGAACTAGTGTGCCTAAGTTCATCTCCCAAACCTTAGTTCATGTTGTGTACCTTAGTTTGTTTGGCGAAACTCGGCGAGCCTTCAAAGAGTTAATGAATCTCTACGTGAGCAGTTGAACCTCAGATGAGCTTTGGGACCTCTGATGAGCTTTTGGTGAACCTCTCTCTATAGGGGGGCTGGTGAACCTCTCTGTATAGGTGAGCTGGTACACCTCTCTCTATAGGTGAGCTGGTACACCTCTCTCTATAGGTGAGTTGGTGAACCTCTCTCCAGAGGTAAGCTGGTGAACCTCTCTCCAGAGGTAAGCTGGTGAACCTCTCTCCAGAGGTAAGCTGGTGAACCTCTCTCCAGAGGTAAGCTGATGAACCACTCTCCAGAGGTAAGCTGGTAAACCACTCTCCAGAGGTAAGCTGGTGAACCTCTCTCCAGAGGTAAGCTGGTGAACCTCTCTCCAGAGGTAAGCTGGTGAACCTCTCTCCAGAGGTAAGCTGGTGAACCTCTCTCCAGAGGTAAGCTGTTGAACCTCTCTCCAGAGGTAAGCTGGTGAAACTCTCTCCAGAGGTAAGCTGGTGAACCTCTCTCCAGAGGTAAGCTGGTGAACCTCTCTCCAGAGGTAAGCTGTTGAACCTCTCTCCAGAGGTAAGCTGGTAAACCACTCTCCAGAGGTAAGCTGGTGAACCTCTCTCCAGAGGTAAGCTGGTGAACCTCTCTCCAGAGGTAAGCTGGTAAACCTCTCTCTTCTTCCCATGAGGGGTGGGCACCCCTAGATCGACTTAAAATGCCCTGAAACATCCAAAGAGACCTGGAGTCTAAAACTGGTTTAATGAGCTCCGTTTTGGCGTTTTCATGTGGCTCTCTGGACCACATTTGTTGTAATTTCTTTGAGTGTAAATTGAATCTTCGAAACAAGTAAAAAAAGCTGTAAGTTCGGCCAAGCCGAGCTTTGAATACCCTCCACCATTTGGAACGAAATTGGCAATTTTCAAAATAATAAAATCCGGAAATAAATCTGTTAAAGTCATAAAAATACCGAATGTAGTCGTTATTTTAGGGTCTATATGATGACGTGGACCTGCATAGGCAACTTTTGTCATAAGCCAATAAAATATGCAATTACGAAACTTGAAAACAAATTCGGTGTACAATGTAGCTAAAATCATCAAAATACCGAATATGGAGGGTACCATTACATGGGGGGGCTATACCAACACATGGAACTGCACGGACAATATTCTGTCTTAGGCTGTAGTAACCATTACGAACTTTAAATACCAAATTTGAAACAATTCCGGTGAATAAAGTCGCTTAAATCACCAAAATACCTAATATCGGGAGGTACCGTTATATGGGGGCTATACGAAGACGTGGACCAGCACAGACAATTTTATGTTATACGTTGTAGTATCTATTACGAACTTCAAATACCAAATTTGAAACAATTCCGGTGAATAAAGTCGCTTAAATCACCAAAATACCGAATATCGGGAGGTGCCATTATATGGAGGCTATGGCAATACGTGCACCTACATGGCCCATTTTCAATACCAAAAGACCTGCAGACATAACATACATTTGAGTAAAATTGTATCAACCTACTTCATTTCGTTGGGAAGATTGAGTTATTTCCACAGACGGACAAACGGACGGACATCGTTAAACCGATTTTGAAACTAGTCAAGTTTTCAAAAAAATGAGTATTGAGACCGATACGCTTATTTGTTAAAAACTTTTTTTGGAAAGAAGTCCTTTTTTCAAGAGGGCCAAATTTGGCATTGTTTTCATTTGTTTAGTTTTATTTTTTTTAATTTTTTTTTTTATTTTTTAAATTAATATTTTTTTTGTTTTTTTATATTTATATTATTATTATTTATTTATTTATTATTATTATTATTATTTTTTTTTTCTTTTTTTTTTTTTTTTGAAGAAGGATTTTTTATAGGGGTCATATTTTCTGTGTCTCAGTCGACCAATACTGCTCGCATTCTATAACATATAAATCCTCTTAGTTTTGGCACACAATCTCTCTCACAATTTCAAAAAATAATTCTCCATAACTCGTCATAATTTCGTTAAAAATTTCCCCCAATTTTCGTGGCCCAAAAAAAAATATCCATTTCAACTTTTCCCATTCATATTAAATATTCTTTCGCTAATTTGAAATATTACGCTTTCTCAATACTTCACTGCAGTAGTAAAGTGAGGATGTCTGGTTTCCACTTTCCGTGTCCATTTTGTACTGGAGGAAGAAGGAAAACAGAGGGTATTTGACGGGCGTAACAAAAACTAAAAACATGGAACGAACACAAATTAGGAAGCCATTGTGAAAGGCAATGGCTTTTAATTGCTTTGGTTGTTCAAGCATGTGAAATGAGATGAATGGGCGATGGGGAGAGAGATGAATAAGATGAAAACGGAGAGAAAGAGAGGGCGGACTCTGAAGATTTAAATGAATGTGAGAGGTGAACACTTGAAGTGGTGTAAAGTGCAATTAATTGAATGCTACTGCAATGAATGCATTTTACGAGCAGGAATGCCAAGAATGAGGAGGTCAAAGCAAAATTAAAAACATTCCCTTATTTTGCTACAAAAGGAAATTAGAAAAATCACTTGAAGCTAAATTCTGTGCTTCCGAACAGGAAACGTTTTTGCTTTAAGTAGCCATTGTCGGAAGTATTTAATAGTGGATTGGAATTGATTCGTTGGGAACAAAGTGTAATTGTATATCCATGCGTATACGTATTGACGTCAAGTATACGCAACAGGAGGGAGAAATGGATAAGTAATAATGTAAGCTATTTTCACATGAGGGGTTTGATTAAGAGAATTTTGCAGATGAGGGAGAGAGAACAATAGGGATATCAAAAGTGAGATATACAATTGATGTAGAGAGGGGAAAGATTATTTTTAATGGGAATGTATGAGTCGGATATTTAATAGAAAAAAGTTTGTACTAAACCTGTTGCATATATTCCAGAAATTAAACAAGCAAAAAAGCTGTAAGTTCCGGGCCGAACTTTGAGTACCCTCCACCACTTGGAACGAATTTGGCAATTCTCAAAAACAATAAAATCCATTAAAAACTCTGTACAAATCTTAAAATTACCGCATGTAGCTGTTATTTTAGGGTCTATACGACGACATGGACCTTCGTAGGTAACTTTTTTTTAAATGCGAAACTTAAAAAAAATCGGTGGGAAATTTAGCTAAAATCATCAAAATGCCGAATATCGGGAGGTACCGTTATATGAGGGATATACGAATACGTGGACCTGCACGTTTTGTTGTTTTAGGCTGTAGTATCCATTACGAACTTCAAATACCAAATTTGAAACAATTCCGGTGAATAATGTCGATAAAATCATCAAAATACCGAATATCGGGAGGTACTGTTATATGAGGGCTATACGAAGACATGGACCTACACAGACAATTTTCTGTATTAGGTTGTAGTATCCATTTCGAACTTCAAATGCCAAATTTGAAACAATTCCGGTGAATAACGTCGCTAAAATCATCAAAATACCGAAAATCATCAAAATACCGAATATGGGGAGGTACCGTTATATGGGGGCTATACGAAGACGTGGACCTGCACAGACAATTTTCTGTCATATGCTGTAGTAACCATTTCGAACTTCAAATGCCAAATTTGAAACAATTCCGGTGAATAATGTCGCAAAAATCATCAAAATACCGAATGTCGGGAGGTATCGTTATATCGGGGCTATACCAAAACGTAGACCTACATGGTCCATTTTCAATACGAAAAGTCCTGCAGACATAATATAAATTTGAGTAAAATTTTATCAATTTACTTCAATTCGTTCGGAAGATAGAGTGATTTCCACAGACGGACAGACGATCGGACATCGCTTAACTGGCATAGAATTTTATGCTGATCAAGAATAAATATAATTTTTGGGGTCTAAAATGTGTAACAAACGAAATGACAAACTTAATATACCCTCCATACTACGATGGAGGGTATAAAAAGGATTTTTTTTTATGTAAAGAAGTTCTGTTCTAGATCTTATGTCAATAGAAGACCTGGAAAAGGTCTTCAACTAATAAAAAATCTGCAAAAAAAGAATTCAATAGACCTCCTGTAGAATATCGTCTGTAAATGGAAAACCTGAAAAAGGTTGTCTGTCAATAGAAGACCTGAAAAAGGTATTCTGTCCATGGACTACTTAAAGAATACCTTCTTCTGAATCAGAAATTCTGTCAATAGGATTTCTTTAAATGCCCTTATATCAATTCTTACTCGTAACTCCTGAAATATTCTCCTACCTCTTTGTTTTCAAAATATTTTCTCTGTAATTAGTGTTTTTGCCTTTATGCCTTCTTCCGAATCAGAGATTCTGTCAATAGGATTTCTTTAAAGAGCCTTTCAATCAGTTCTTGTTTCTTAAATCCTGAAATATTCTCCTTACCCCAAATTTTCAATGTCATTAATTTCCTTTAATCTCTTCTTCTCTTTCCAGTCGCGTCGACAATCAGTCAGCTTCACCGCCATGCCACCCGGCGTTTTAGCCAATGACAGTCGTAACAATTCCACCGATGACATACAAATCGCTTTAGCACCCCACATACAAACCTATTTAAGTCAAACCGGTCGTCGTCATTCCTGCTGCAGCGTCATGTTGCCCGTTGCCTTTGAGCGTGCGGCCTCCAATTCATGGCTGGATCCGAAATTCGATTCAGCCGTACTGGAGGGCCAGTTTCAGACCAGTGTATTTTCACATGTGCGAATGAGATATCGGTAAGTAAAAAAATAAATGATTAACAAACAAAAGCTAAAAAATTTGTCGGTTTAGCCGACAGATGTACGCCCTCAGCCACTGTTCGCTTAATTAAATATACTTTGACTTGCTTTATGATTATCCAAGCTGTTGTTTCTTTATGGGGAAGATTCCAAAGGAGTGGATCAATGTTGTCCATTTCGTATCTAGTCTAAGTCTGATATCAATGTACCAGATTTGGTCGATATTTTGGGAAAATTAAGAAATGTGCGTGAGGTACAAAATAAAGTGGACCGAAGTATTTCACTCCATCTAATTCTGAAAACAAATATCGGGATGAACATCTAAAATTTATTTCCAAGTTTATGCGAATAATTAATCAAAATTTAAAATTTTTTTGGGAAGGTACCGGAAAGAGTGTGCCGATGACATATATATTCACATCAGATTGAAAATTGTGACCCTATGGGGTGGATATGCCAGAAGGGGTGTGCCGACATCTATCATCTTCACACCAAAGTGAAATTTGAAGGGAATCGAATGCTTTCTACATTTGTAAGCGTTTTGGTTATTCAAAATTTTGACCCTTTGTGGAGAAGTTACTATAGGGGGTAGGCCGATATATTCCATCTTCACTCCAGGTCTTGTGTTAGCAGAAATATTGGGATGTGCCAAGTTTGAAAATAATCGGATGCTCACTTCGGGATTTATGAGCTTCATAGTTATTCAAAATTGTGATCCTTTGTTGGGGAGATACCAGAAGTGATGGGCCGATATATTCCATCTTCACTTCAGGTCTTGTGTTAGCAGAAATATTGGGATATGCCAAGTTTGAAAATAATCGGATGCTCAATTCGCGTTTTATAAGCTTCATATTAATTAAAAAATTGTGACCCTTTGTAGGGGAGATACCAGAAGGAGGGGTCTGATATACTCCATCATCACACCAGATTATGTGTTGATAGAAATATTGTAATGTGAGAAATTTTAAAACATAGGATGCTTATTTTGCAAATTATATATTATATTTGGGGGGAGGTATATTATTGTGGGGGAGGTACTAAAATAAAAATACCCAAATATCCCATCTTCAAACCTGATCTTCTGCTGATAGAAATATTGTAATATGTTAAACTTGAAGAGAATCGGACACTAATTTCGCATTTTATAAAAGTTATAATTATTCCAAAGTTTGACCCTTTGTGGGGGAGGTACATGTCAGAGTGGACATATATTGTCCATTTGCGCACCTGACCTAGAACTGATACAAATATTGGGATTTGCACAAAATTGAATGATCCTTACGTGTTCTTTTCTGTGAAAGTATTGATCTTTTTTGGAGAGATACCGATATTACCCATCTCCGAAGTTGATCTATATTTAACAATAACATTACGATGTTATCTTCTCCAAATTCAACCTGGATCCTATGAACCACAATTGAATTAGTGTTGTGTACATTAGTTCGAGTGGCGAAACTCATAAGCTTTCAGTGAATTAGTGAACCTCTACGAGAGCTGTTGAACCTCAGATCAGCTTGGGGACCTCTAGATTAGCTGTTGAACCTCAGATGAGCTTCGGGACTTCTAGATGAGATGGTGAACCCTGGGTAAACTAGTGAACTTTTAGGTGAGCTGCCTCTATAGGAGAGCTGGTACACCTCTATAGATGAGCTGATAAACCTCTCTCTATAGGTGAGCTGGTAAACCTCTCTCTATAGGTGAACTGGTGAACCTCTCTCTCTCTATAGGTGAGCTGGTGAACCTCTCTCTATAGGTGAGCTGGTGAACCTCTCTCTATAGGTGAGCTGGTGAACCTCTCTCTATAGGTGAGCTGGTGAACCTCTCTCTATAGGTGAGCTGGTGAACCTCTCTCTATAGGTGAGCTGGTGAACCTCTCTCTATAGGTGAGCTGGTGAACCTCTCTCTATAGGTGAGCTGTGAACCTCTCTCTATAGGTGAGCTGGTGAAACTCTCTCTCTATAGGTGAGCTGGTGAAACTCTCTCTCTATAGGTGAGCTGGTGAAACTCTCTCTCTATAGGTGAGCTGGTGAAACTCTCTCTCTATAGGTGAGCTGGTGAAACTCTCTCTCTATAGGTGAGCTGGTGAAACTCTCTCTCTATAGGTGAGCTGGTGAAACTCTCTCTCTATAGGTGAGCTGGTGAAACTCTCTCTCTATAGGTGAGCTGGTGAACCTCTCTCTATAGGTGAGCTGGTGAACCTCTCTCTATAGGTGAGCTGGTGAACCTCTCTCTATAGGTGAGCTGGTGAACCTCTCTCTATAGGTGAGCTGGTGAAACTCTCTATAGGTGAGCTGGTGAACCTCTCGCTATAGGTGAGCTGGGTGAACCTCTCACCATAGTTGAGCTGGGTGAACCTCTCTCCATAGCTGAGCTCGTGAACCTCTCTCCATAGTTGAGCTGGGTGAAACTCTCTCCATAAGTGAGCTGGTGAACCTCTGTCCATAGGTGAGCTGGGTGAACCTCTCTCCATAGGTGAGCTGGGTGAACCTCTCTCCATAGGTGAGCTGGTGAACCTTTGTCCATAGGTGAGCTGGGTGAACCTCTCTCCATAGGTGAGCTGGGTGAACCTCTCTCCATAGGTGAGCTGGGTGAACCTCTCTCCATAGGTGAGCTGGTGAACCTCTCTCTATAGGTGAGTTGGGAAATCAACATATTTAATTAGGTGAGTAGGTAAATTAGTTGAACTTGTACACCTTATGTCTTAAGTATTATATCATTATATCTTAAGTTTGCTTTAATCCTTAGGAAAGTTGATGTGAACTCAGGTAATGTCCATGAACTAATGAATAGCTAGCCAAGTTTAGGTGGTAAATAATTCGAGAGCTTATGAATCTTTCCTGAGCTGCAGATGTACTCTTTCGGAGCTGTTAACCCTTAGGTGTTCTTTGAGCGAGATATTAAGTCTGAGCTTGCTATCCCTTGAATATACCATTCTATGCTTGAATCTTTATTTCATGTTGATTATAAATTCATAAAATGTTGTTCCTTGAAATTAGTCTTTCCAAATTGTCCGTTAAAGTATTTACAATTGGTCGGAAAACTATTCCATGAAGTTGTATTATACATACTGGCGTATACGTACTGACATGCATTATACGCAACTGAAAATCATTTAAAAAATAACATTTTTAACTGCAAGCATTTATCGGAAATGTTTATGGTATATGTTGCAATACCATAAAATATGAAAAATTAATATATAAAGAATATCAAAAACCCGCTGAAAATGTATTACCAGTTTCATTACAATATTTCGAAGTACTAAAAAGCGGGTCGAGCAATAGGTGGTCTATTATAAAATTGAACATTTTCTCCACATTTTTTTATACATTCCCTAAACATTTTCTTCATATTTTAACATATTTAACACTACAACATTGGCAACTTTCTCTACATTTGCTTAAAATGCATTCCTTAAACATTTATTCCATATTTAAACATGAAAATGCATTCAGTAGAAGAAAGGAAACACCAACAATCCATTAAATTTATATTAACAACTTTAATATACCACATTTACTGCAGTGTTGCAATTTTCTGTTGCAAACCACCCAGGAGGTCGTTGCCTCTCTGTGTTTTCTACCCCAACAACGGGAACAAACTCAAACATCAACCCAATTCTTTGAGGGGCTACCACATTGCAACACCACTAACTGTATCCAACTTTCATTCTTTTTTATGAGTTTTGTTTTTTTTTTTTTTTGTATCCCATTAAAAATTTAAAGCATAAACACAGGCGTTGGGCAGACATGTCCATATTATCAGCAAGTTAAATACAATGTTCACGTAAAATAACGATCCCTACTATCCTACGGTAACCACCTCTAACTACCAGCTAGCTCTGTGTGGCAGGCAGGCAGGAAGGCAACAATATGCATTACAAAAAAAAAAGTTAGGTCATAAAGTTAACAACGAAATTATTTATGAAAGCCCATGTTCGGAATACAAAAACACATGCAGACAGAGAGAGAGAGAGTGCACACATATATATACAAGGGTTGTGTAGTGTGAGGTTGAGAGTTGTAGCTAGCTCGCATTTTTGCCCCCACATTTGCTTAACATACGCAAGGCATATTCTGTCGATTTGGTGTTGAAAAAAGGGTCATATTAGACAAAAGTTTTAAATAGTTTTCTGTTGTGGCTAAAGTTTGAAAAATCTGTTTTCCTGTTTTTTAAAACATTACGCTACATATTTTACGGAGGTAGATGATTATTGACATATTTAAGCCTTTTGTTAAAACCTTTTAAATAATCATTCAAAACTTCGAGTATATTACGAGAAATAATGATTTTTTTATTTACTTGAAATGGTGGACCGATAGCTTCCATTTCACTCTAGCTCCAATATAAACAAAAATATTGAGATAAAAAAAACGCATATTGATTCCTCATTTTAAGGGAGTTATTATTATTCAAAAATTGGACCCTATGTGGAAAGGATACAGGAATGAATGGACCAATATTGCCCATTTTCAATCCTGACCTCTGTCTTATATAAATATTGCACCTTTCGGTAAATATTTGCATTTCATTTTTTTAATTGGAAGATTTTTGAACTTTTTTGGGGGAGGTATGTTAGTGAGTAGAATATGTTCACGACTTATCTAAGCCTCATCTTAATATACGATGTGCCAAGTTGGAACTACGTCGGGTACTCCCTTCACTCAATATGGCATTTGTATTTTTTTTTTTTTTTCAAAATATTTTCAAATAAATAATAATACTAGTTTGTGCGATATTAGAAGAAAACGGAAAAGAGATTTCACATTTTACAAAAGTTGTTATTATTCGAAATTGTGACCATTTTCAGGTACCCTACCCAAGGGTACTGATTTCGCCTAATATGAGATTTGAATTTGTGGGCAAAACGAACAAACTTATGTGTGGAAGGTACCAGAAGGAGTGGACTGACCACTTCCGAACCCAATCTAAGTTTGGTAAAAATATTAAGATGTACTTAGTTTGGGCCAAATTGGATACTCTCTTCGAAATTTATA